TTGCACCTCCCGCTCGAGGTGACTCTGGGGAGTATCTCCCTGTCCGTTCCAGACCTGGATCGCGGGCGCTGTCCTCTCGGCACCGCCCACGGTCACAGCACTGCTCCTCACGGCACCACTCGGACTCGCGACCACGCTCCCAGTCCCCGCAATGCTCCAGCTGCAGTGAGATCCAACTCAGCGGCCCATGATCCCAGCCTTCCCCATCCCCCATCCCCCATCCCCATCCCTGCAGCCCTGGTCTGCCCCACCTCCCCAAGCATGGGGAGCACAGGCTGGCACCTCCACCCCAGGCCCAGAGCACGGGGAGGGCTGGCAGCAGGAGTCTGGGAGGGGGCTTGGTGATTGGGAAGGCATTACCTTCCCCTGCCTCTGGTCCCCGCTGCCCTTTCTGTGCTCACTGGGCGTGTGCAAAGATGGCAGGGGGGCCTTAGCCAGATCGTAGCAAGCCACGATCCGGGAGACTGGCAGCCCTTTCGGACGCTCTGCTGCGGCCCCAAACCGCTGCGTTCAGTGCGGTCGCTCTGAAGGCGAGCGCTCTCCTACCGCGCTTCTCCCGGGCTTTGCTGAGGCGCTAGCGGGAGCCCTGGCAGGAAGCTCTCCTGACCAGGGTGGGAGTAAGGGATCGCCTTGGGCAGCCAGGCCGGGTGGGCCGACGTTGGACCTTGTCTTCATGAAATCCCACACAGGACAGTTCTGAACCGCTGCGTTCAGTGCGGTCGCTCTGAAGGCGAGCGCTCTCCTACCGCGCTTCTCCCGGGCTTTGCTGAGGCGCTAGCGGGAGCCCTGGCAGGAAGCTCTCCTGACCAGGGTGGGAGTAAGGGATCGCCTTGGGCAGCCAGGCCGGGTGGGCCGACGTTGGACCTTGTCTTCATGAAATCCCACACAGGACAGTTCTGAACCTGGAGCTCCGATGCAGGAAGCCGAGGTACTAGCCCCTGGCAGGCTGCCTTCCACGACAGGTACAGAAGGGAGCAGGTCGCCAGGCGTTCAAAGGGAAGTTTGCCTCCAGAGATGTAACAGACACTCCAGGACCTTCTGTTCAAAGCATCCGCTTCTTCGTGGAGCAAACCCGCGCCAGGCTGCACAGCCTCCAGGACCCCCGGAACGCCACACTCCCCTCGGCCACATTCCCGGCTCACGCCCCCGATCAGGAGATCCGCAGGGCGACACTCAGGGCGCATTCTGCCGTCATGCCTCCAACCGGAGAGCAGAAGGGCTTTGGCGCAGCCGTTCTGCAGTCAGAGACTCGTTGGCTCCACCCCCGGCACCTGGGGAAGGCTTGGGAAGCGCCTCACTGGGATCGACATGAGCAAGCAGTGGAAGGCGAAAAGATGGTTCCTCACCTTGTCACGGCCGTTGCTCATATCCCAGATTCCCCGCCGCCCCCCTCTGGGAGTAGCTGGCAAGAAGTATACCGGGCCGTATACAGAGCACGCCATTCCACTCCAGGGGGCTGCACAGCTGACCCGACGGGGAGCTGCTTAGGGAAAAACTTTCCAACAGCTGTGCAGGTGGCATGCGCTCATCTAACGTTGCGAGGTGAGTAACCGTCTTGCCTCGCTGGCTGATATCGCTCATAAAACATGGTGCTTTATAAGTGAATTGAGCCTTGGCACTAGATTTGGTATTTCCTTTTGTTAGAGTACACCCTGACACTCTAACGGTATAAAGTCACATCGCCTAATATTGTGTTAATGGTACATTTAGGACGTTAGAAATGTGGACTGATCCATTGCATATCATCATATATATAGTAGCCCAGTGTCTGAGAGTCTGTAATGCCGAAATGCTGGCTGTTCCCTCTGGGCCGCCCGTGCTGCATGGGGAGTGCGGAGCCCAAACGGACGCTTGCTCCCCCGCGGCGGCCCGGCTGAGCGGTGCAGAAGTCAGCCAAGCACCACGGCGGGAGGCAAAGGAGGGGCGGGGCAGTGATGTGTGGTGTGACAGTGGCTCCAGGCTCTGCCCCCGGCCAGGAACCCCTCCTCACTTCACCTCCTGCAGTTGCACTTGGCTGCCCT